TAATAAGTAAGTCAGTTTAACAGACTTGTGTGAAGAAATAGGATATATTATGCAGATAATTAAAACATAAAAAAGGGCAGGTGTTAAATAAAAGAATCTTTCTATCTAAGGAAACTTTAATATGCATAATTAATCACTTCTTGCTTCCTCGCATGCCTAAGTAGGAAGTGAAGTGCTAAAAAACATCTCTCAAGTTCCCCTTATCACAACCCGCACACCTGAAAATCTATATATACATGAACTTCAACCTCGTTCCCAGTGTCTTACCTCTGCTCATGCGTGCCGGAGATGAGCCCCTGTGAAACAGGTCACATGAACTTGTGGTTAGAGCTTGACAACTGGACTCTGTAGCTCAGTTGGTTAGAGCACTGCACTGGAATCTCCAGGATGCAGGTTCAATTCCTGCCAGAGGACCTAGTGTTTGCAACTGTTCCTGGACTTAAAACGTCTTCAAACACTCATTAATTAATAAGCTCATGGTCATTGGCAAATCATGTCAACCATAATATGTCACATGAAGAGGCTTTATATCTGATGTAGGAATTAAACAACACATCTTTATTAGTATTTAGTTATATAAAAGTCCATCCTAATTAGTATTTATTCAAAGCAAGAATACTATAAATGAGACAGCATCTATTGTGGTTGTGTTTGAAGCTATTCAAAACACTTGAGTCGCGTTGTATCATATCTAAAATGCTCGTGCTGCGTACTCGCATTTTAAATATGATAAAACACTCCTAGGCATGTCTTAGCAAATAGTACTTGAATGTACAACCATGACTATGTACTCCAGTTGAACTGATGACAAATATATTGGCCTGAACACGGGAATATACCAGTGGAATATACCAGAGGGAATATGCAGTTTTCAATTAAGGTTGTCGCGTGAACAGCAAGATACCCATACCAAATTAATATTTTTAACTGTTTAGGTACCTAACCTATGACTATAGCTTCTTTTTGTTTTGACAATTTCCGGGTATTCCCGGGTTTATAACACATTTCACACTGTATAAAATATCTTGTTCCCATTATACTTTAGTTTTGGGACCGACCTTGGTATATTGAAATAGCTGTATAATCATAAGTGTTTAATTAGTCAAGGAGGGCTACTTGCAAAGGCCTTCCAAGTTTGTAATAAATAAATACTGATAATAATATTAGCTCACGAAATTCTAGGAATAAGCAATCAAAACCCGGTAATCGGTATAATTTTGTACCGGCCGCGAGTCGCATTTTGCGGCAAAAATATATTTAGTCTAGACGGCATTCGTATATTAATAAACCTTACACTTTTACTAGAAATAGCTTTCTATTTTTCGTTATTTTAAAGTCGAACAATTAGAATCATTTAAAGGTATTAATTTGCAACTTTACCTCGACGAAGCATGTTCTAAATTTTGGGTATCGTTTGCATTAAATGTGACATCTGATTGTGGCGATATATCATCTAAATATAGGTTATTTTCGACGTTTGATACTTCTTCATTGTCGGGATTATATTCTTCAGTCTCCTGGGTATTCTCAGAATGATTTTCCTCGTTGCTAGACATATTTTTGAGCAAAAAAACTGAGATGCAAAACTTCCAACGAACATTAACGAGCTATCAGCTACAACAGTGTTACTGTATTATTATTAATAACAGACTCATGCTGTTTTATGATGTCACGCGAAATTGCTATCATTCTTTATTTTATACTGTATGTCTTAAAGTTCGCCACACTAAGGCCGCGGTCACACTAGTGCTAGAATCGTGCTTACTTGAACGTAATCTACTTGAATCTGTCAACAGGTCAGCCTCCAAGCACGTTTGATAGTGTGACCGCGTAAAACGCATAATCCGAGCTTGCTTGAAACTTGATACATTTTGCTTGAAACTACAAAAGTACCGCAGCAAGATTCAAGCATGGTAGGGACGGTGACTGAACCGTGCTAGAATGCATATCTCAAGAGGATTTATACAACGCGACCAATAAAAACGCTCCCTGTTTAAGTATCCATTAGAAATCCTGATAAGACCAGGAATTGCATTAACGCGCCAATTTCGAAACACAGACACACGTATTGCAGGCAGTCGCACTATCTTTCGTATTCTAAAAAATCAGAATGGATTCAACTCCGAACCGAAAGCAAAACAAAGAAAGTGCGATCCAACTCCTGGTCTAGGAATAACCCAAAACTCACGATCAACTCTTGGGTTGACCACTCTGGCGATCGCGATAAAAAACAATGTTGTTGTCGTCTGAAGCATCTGCAAGCGTCGCATGTTTTGTTTCATTTGGTGAAGCAAAAGGTACATTCGTCGCCTTCTGCTATTAAGCGCTCTTCGTTTTTTAGCATCGAAACGCGAAAACGTTGATACATAAAATGAAATAAAAGTAAAGAATCTCTGTCCATTTTAAGTCTATATATATTTATATAACGAAGAATATTGCGTAATGTAAATTTAACAAAAACCATGCAAAGACACTTTATCTGTCATTACAATCTTAAGCAAGCATAAGTACTTTTTCAGTGTGACCGCGACGTGCTTGCTTAACATTCTAGCACTTGCTTGAATGACGTCACAAGCAAGCACGCTAATCCTTTGCTAATCTGCAAGCACAAGCGCTAGTGTGACCGCGACCTTATAAAGCGTGCAGGTTTACTTACAAAAAATGTATAACTGCACCAAAACCTAAAACATGCACGGATAGAGTCACAGAATAAATGTGCCTTCACTGTGGTAGAGTACTGGAAAATGGGGAGGTGATGAAATCTGTAACCTTGGGAGGTTTGGGGCATGCTCCCCCGAGAAAATTTTAAAATTTCAACCTTGGAAATGCTATTTCCTGCGTTTTCAGCCATGGATTCGTCCACGACAACTTTGCTGTACTAAGCATAAGGAACCCTTTCTGTCCTTTATTTTAAACAAGGCATCTATACATTATTCAATCAAGATGCCAACAAAATCTTGATATTTTCCTTATACCCGGCATATACTTTTATATATTGGGAGATAAATCGTTCATCTCAAAATACGGAATAGTAGGAATTATTGGACATTTTCATTGACATTGGGGTCCGAGGCAGTTCTGATGGGTATTAAAGGTTACGCAAAAGTTGTATTTTTATACATTTTTTTAGCTTCCCAACGTTCTCATACCTTCCTCGCCTTCCCAATAATGCAATAGATTAAAAGTTTTTTGTTAGCAGAAAAAACAAGACAAAAACTCCAATAAAACGCTCAACAATCAAATTACTATATTTACTCGGCCCAATTCACTTTTCTCTTAAACCGCGCAAATTATAACGCATGCGTAGACAAAATTTCCAACCTCGTTCCCAGGGGTTGGCCTTTTTTTCGGCCACGGCGAGCAACCTCGGTCCCAGGGCCCCCTGGAACCGAGGATGCCGCGGCGAGTTAAAACTGCGGCCGAAAAAAAGGCTAGCCCTGGGTACGAGTTTGTTTACCAATGACTGGGGCAACCTCGTCCCCAGGGCCTTTTGAGGAAAGATGCGAAGGGCAGCTCTCCTTCCTCAATAGGCCCTGGGGACGAGGTTGTGACTGGGGGCCGCTGAATTATCACCTTCTTGTTAAAAAAAATTGAACAAAAATTTACATCATCAATAATCAATTTTATTCAATATACAAAACGTTGGGTGCATGCAAATTATATGTGTTGTCAATTAATGTTGCAGAGATCTAGAACAGTACAGTATATAAACAGTGGCAACAGTTAGTATTTTAGCTCATGCAAGGTAATTGCAGACTATAGCCTGGTTTCTAGTTTCTAAATTGTTCATTTCTAAACCTCTGACATTGTGCTGTTCTCTATTTTCGCCTCGATGGCTCCTGCGGCTGTGTATATATGTTGTGCGAACTTTCCATCTTTCATAAAACCGTTCATGCATTGCCAGTTTCATCATTCATTCATCTATCATTGCAAATTTCTAAGAATCATTTCAACAAATTGAACATTTTTTCTTGTGTGAACCATGTTTTTTGTGGACAGTCGCATCTGTGATGTCACCATGAACATCTGCAAAATATAAAAATACGGCTACAAACTTATGTACTTAGCTGCCATCTATAATTTCAATCAAATTCTAGACCTAATCAGTTGACAGCTAATTGCATATGTTTATGCCTGCTGTCACTCACATATGTAATTTAAATGCTTGGTTACCTTTGTACCATTCTATGCTCACATTATCCATAGCCTATCGAAGGGAAGATGGCTGTGAAACTCGTTAGAATAACAATATAACTCGTTATCTATGTTGTTCAACGTTTATTCATAAATCTGGTCCTTCACCGTCACGTGTGTATTGTATTCTTGCGCAACTAACCAATAGCAATGTTTTAGGAAAGTCACCTATCCCTGACTCGAACAATAGGGAAACTGGAAATTGCTATTGGTGGATTTGGTAAAAATACTGTACAATACACACGCGACGGTGAAACGATTTATGAATAAACGTTGACTAACATAGATAATGAGTTATACTGTTATTCTAATGAGTTTCACAGCCATCTTCCCTTCGGTAGGCTATGGATTATCAGAAGAGTGGTAACTAGGCATGTGAGTCATCAATTCACTCACATTTATATCATTTAAATGCTTGGTTACCTTTGTTCCATTCTATGCTAAGAGTGGTAACTAGGCATGTGAGTTATCAATTCACTCTCACATATATCATTTAATTAAATGTTTGGTTACCTTTGTTCCATTCTATGCTTAATTATCAGTAGTAACTAGGCATGCAAGCTAGTTAAAAAATGTGAGTTGGCAAGAGGAATAATATTCCTTAGCGGTCAAATCATGCAGACAAAATTCTCAAGAACAAACCAAAACAAAGATTTACGGCTGACCCTCCATGACATTCTCTGGGAAGAAATACAGCTCCTTTCTCAGCTGTGAAATAATCGACGGTATTTGCTTCTTGTTGTCTGAGAAGTGCTCATCTGTGTTTGACTTTTGCTTTGCCACTTCAGCATTCACACGTGTCATCATTCGTAGGACATCCATCGTCATGGCATTCTGTCGGAACACAGACACGATCGCCTGGACAAACCAGGATCCTCTGACGGAATTACGCCAGGAATAGTAACCAGGTACAGTGGAGTAAGCATACATGAAGTCTGCTTCAACCGGGAGTGTTATTTTGTTGTTGCCTGGTGCATCAACTTCGTCCATTGGTTGATCCTGGCCTGGTCCGTCTGTTTCTTCAACACCGTCCATGTAGTCGAAACCTATAACATGTGATTGACATTTGTTGGTGGTCCAGTCTAGGTAGTATTCTACAATAAACTGTCGTGGTTTGTGTCTGAATTATCTGAAAAAGATATCTCAAACGTGGTGGTCCAGTCTAGGTAGTATTCTACAATAAGCTACTATGGTTTGTTCTTGAACTACCTGAAAATGACTAAAAAGTTTGCCATTTCAAGTGAAGGCCCTTTCTCATTATTAACATTCTGACAAAGGACTCCACTAGCCTCGAAGTACTTCTGACAACAACAACAACAACAACAACAACAACAACAACAACAACAACAACAACAACAACAACAACAACAACAACAACAACAACAACAACAACAACAACAACAACAACAACAACAACAACAACAACAACTGACAACAACAACTGGATAACAACTGGACACAACTGGATATTATTTACACAACTAATTGGGGACTGATATTCCCTCTGATCCCATTGTTGATGTTTGCAAGGGATCATATTAAACAAGTCGATTTTCTTTCTCCATGGAAATCACTTGGGATATCTACTCAGGACGTTTCGTGTATTATTATCGTTGTGTCTCCCTTGAATTCACTGATACAAGATCAAATATCTCGACTGAAATCAAGTGGCCTTCGCGCGTCTGCCATTCTATAAAAATTCGCAGAAAAATATTCCATTCACATTTGGATTGCACATTTTGGGTTTTGGGTTAAAATAGGGATTACTTCGTCTACTACTACGTATACGCATGACTATATTTATTAATGACGGTAAAATATATTGGTAGATGATATTCATTAACAATTAACTCACTTCTACTGGCATGGCTAAAGGTGCAGCAGATCTAGTTTCCGATTACTCGAGGAGGACACATTGACAAAGTTTAAAGCCAAACTGCGCCTTCGACTTTCAACTGCAGTAACCTTTACCGAAGGTCTGGCAACGAAAACTTCAAGGCATCGATCGCTTGGATCGAAATCTTTTACTAATGATTTCTGTGTTTCGGAAATTACATTCTTGAATGAAATCGTATTATTTAATCGTCGTTCACAAGGACGGCACTCGGCAGATCAAATAAGGAAAACCATCAACATGCGGCAGTTTCTCGCCATGAATCAACTCCGCGTTATTTAAAATTCTTTAATTTGTTTTGTTGAAGAGATTCTTACAACGTCTCTGATCTTGTACACCATTATACATAATCGACAGCGATAATCGACAGGGCTTTGCTAAGCCGATATAGTGACGATACAGTGATATATGAGATATTTGTAATCTTTGAGAGCAATATGATACTGGCTATCTTTAAAACGGGGAAAGGGGAATGGGGGAAGGGAACGGGGAAGGGAACGGGGAAGGGAATGGCCGGAGAATGGCCGGGGAATGAGCGGGGAATTGCCGGGGAATGGCCGGGGAATGGCCGGGGAATGACCTGGGAATGACCTGGGAATGGCCGGGGAATGGCCGGCGAATGGCCGGGGAATGGCCGGGGAATGGCCGGGAAATGGCCGGGAAATGGCCGGGGAATGGCCGGGAAATGGCCGGGGAATGGACGAAATCGGGAAAAACCCTAACATTTTGAAGATTTTTGATTAAATATTTTCATGAATTATTTTCGTTGCGTTATGGCAAGTGTAGCATTGAAGTAAATCGAAATTACAGTAATAGGATTACAGGCGACCGAAGCTATGTTGTTTGTGTAAATGACTGACGTAGTTCCTTTCTTGGGAGAGACCAAGGCTCCCACGCAATTGTATTATATAAGATTGTGCTTTACTTTAATAAATGGTTCGCCACTCTGCCTCTGGCTTTGACTCCGCGCACTTGTTTTGCATTGACATTGTGCTCGGCACGTTACAAATATTAAAA